ACTAGGATGTAATGTAAACACTGCATTTTCCCTGAAAAGACAGTGTTTACAGCAAAAAGCCTGAAGGTAATGATTCTACTCACCAGAACAAATTCAATAAGCTGTAGTTGTTCTGGTGACTATAGTGTCCCTTTAAGGTAATGCTCCTGATGCATTCAGATTCCTTCACTCAACTGCCTAATTCACTTACTCACATAGCTGGCAGATTTTTCAATACCTGTGGTCAATTTTTTGACCACAGTATTCAGTGGGAAAGAACCCTCAATGCCATCACAGTTTTCTGATTTTCAGTAAGACAAAAACACAGTTTATTGGGTATCAAAATAATTGCTTTATTTTTAAGTCCAAAAGTAATTTTCATATAAATTCCATTGTACATATGATACTGAACTGTAAAAAACAAAAAACAAAAGAAAAAACAGTGGGCATTGGAAAGAGTGAAAAGGAGACCTATGATGTACGTAATTAAGGCCTAGCAAACCCATGATTTGTTTGGGAATCTTAGCATGGTGGCACTATTGCTAACCCCAATTACTGAAAATTCAATAAAGGCCTACCTGGCCAAAAATAAAAAAAGTTTAAAGTTTTAAACCAAGCGCCATATTGCAGAAAAAAAACCAAAAAACACTGCTGTCATCTTAGAAGGAAAGTATAGCATAGGCATGGGTACAAATGTAAAAGATCCAAGTCTGGGCATGGTGCATTCTTGTTAAGAAACGAAAACAGGCAGACAATATTATATATACACACTTTATTTGGAGTGGTATTAATATAAATGTGAATATAATCAACTGACTCCAACAGAATGATTGCTTATTAAGGAATAAGAATTATATATCTAATTAAACCATACCAAAAAGATTGTGATGAGACCAGACACAAAACTCCCAGCAAATAAAATAAAAAAAATGAACTGTTCTGCATCACCGGTGTATCTCAAGTTGGACCTCGGAAAGTCCACCTAAGGTACAGAGACTCACTCTGAGATACTTGTAATAAACTCGCTTTCTCAGTTTCTCTACTAAAGGGGAACTTTCCAAAGTTTTTGTTCTTTTAAATAAAAAATAAATAAATAAAAAAAAACATGGCCACCTTCATTATTTTTAAAAATGACCCCCCCCCCCAAACCTTTATTCCAGCACCAGCACATTCTCCTCATTGCAACCTGACCCTCCTACTGTTAAGGCATCATTTTAGATTATTTTTGTCCTTTTAGATGCTTACAACAAGAGAAGTGGTGAGGACAGAAGACATGCGCAGCAATCACATCTGTCAGCCAATCCCAATGCTTCTCATGGAAAAGGACTGAATCCAATGCAAAGTCCTTCAAAAATCTAATGATGTAACAGCCACTAGAGGTGTGTTTTGGGACCAATATAAACATTGCTATTTCAAAGTAATGGCACAAACTCACACAATCTGGAGGTAGTTGTGTTAGTGCTTAGTGTTCTTTTAAGATTGGATAGGTCCCAATTTGTTACATTAAATGATTACTGGACAAATTTCCTTGATCCCAACAGCTGTTTGGTAGCCTGACGCTGGACATCAAGCTCTGAATGAGCCAATCCAGGGTCAGAGAAATCCCAGAAAAGAAATGCTTTCCTATGGGTAGGATATAATGTGCTTGCAGCACTTGCTGTGCATGTGGTCCCCCGTAGGATGGCGTCGGAAGAGGCAGAGCGCCGAGGGACACTGGTGCTGGAGTCGGGTGAGTAAAGAAAGGGAATTTTTGTAACCCTTTATGCCCCATGGAACTCTGTATTTTTACACTATAGAATCTCTTTAATGCAGTGTTCTGGCACAAAAGGCTTGTCTCTGCAGGCTTAGTGTGAATACTGCCTTTTATGAGAAAGGACCACAAAAGTCAGTATTTACATTGCTGCCTGACAGCCACCACTAGTAGGTGTAAGTTGGACTTACTACATGAGGTCCTGCAATGACTGCATGACTGACATTCAGTGTCTTCCCCGTAGAAATGCATTGGGTCAATACATTTCTATGAGGAGATGCCAATCGGCTCAGCGTGGCGATTACTGCACATGCGCACTAGCCTTCCCTATGGGAAATCATTAGATGGGATGAACTCACCAGTATTGTTAATCACAGCCAGCAAAACTGGGTGATTGCGGCAAAGCAGTGGGAAATAAGGTAAGTAAATCTTTATTTTGCTTCAATTATAGGAAGGTCTGGATTTTTGAATTAGTTATAGGAACATGTTTGCGTTCCTAATGCTAGTGTTCTCTTAATGTAAAAATCCACACCTCTTTATTTTGCAACTCCATCTTAGCTCATTCTTTGCACTTGGCCGTCAGCCTAGGGAGAAGTGTTTGCCCTGGTTGACTGAAATGGATTGTGATGTCTTTTGCTAAATGTTTAATATAAATTCAAATATAAATTCAAAATAAAACAAAGTATCCCATGAGGTATAGTGTAACAAGTTATAAAAAGTTTTTCTTTCTTTCTTCATTTTCAGATGTGGTGGCCTTTCTTTAGCAGAGATTTCAAGACCAAAAATAAAATGTCAGATAAAACCATGTTTTACAGTCACTCTGAATCCGTTTCATACATCTTTTATAGATCTACGTTAAGGATTCTTGACATTGAAGTTAAACTTTTCGTTAATTTCTTGCACTTCTACTTGTATATCGTGATGATTGGTTTCACATTTACACTACAAAACATTATTCTCCTTTAACTTCGTTTATATGGCATTACATGGTTAGATGTGCTCCTCAGGGTACTACGGAAGAAATGTTTTACCACCATCCTGTGAGTGCTCTTCATATGCAGCCATGTATGTATAACAAAGAACATGCGTCTAATATTATTAATCTGAGAAAGGTCTGTTGGGTGTTATAAGAGGCCCAAGGTACAAAAATATATGGTGGAGTGAACATCTGAAACTCCCCCAAAAAAGCTACATTCTCAAGAAGAATGCTAGTTTCCCTTTTAAGATGAAAAAAACAGCAGACAATTTTTAGCAAAGAAATACATTGACGGGAAGTGGCATTGCATCCGCCAGCATGGGGTACATAAGTGCTAGGATACAATGAAAGTGGTTTGAAAATAGATTTGTCCATAGTGCAGCCAGTCCATATTAACACCAGAGTCACTGAAAACAACTGCTCAACATTTGTAGAACTGTACCACTGCAGACTTGTAGACGTATCCAACTGCAGACCACCATCTATATGCTTTTGGGTTAACAATAGCAGTAAAAAATATCAAAGCACCTTCACAGTAAGTCCTGTAGTGTATAAAATGTAAGCGATAATTATTGAGGAAAAAACAAGCTGCTTAATATTATTACATGTATAACTTTGGAAGCAATTAACTCATTCACTGATTCCTTCTGGTTTGAGAAATTCCCACATTAATACCCAATGATTGAAAAAATATATATATTTCATAACTGTGCACTTTACCTACTACCTTTTAAATATGTCTCAATGATAATGGTCTGGGGTATATTCCATAAGATCTTGTAGTCTCCGTATAGACCAATAACAATAGGTAGATAAATTAAAGTTTTGTCAAAAAAACCCACACATAATCAAATGGCAAACTCTCTCCTCTCTTTTTTTCAGCCTCTATTACATTCAAAAATCAGGGAAGTAATACAAAGAGACTAACTGCAGAGAGATTCAACCCCACTGTTGAGATAACATCGTAATAAGTAAAACCACATCACCTTTACGCTACCCCACCCACCTTTTCGACCAATGAAAGTTGATTCTAAATAACTAGTAAACACATCTTCCAAATTTTGCCTACATCTTTTCAAAAGTCCATTCAAAAATACCCTGCCCTATTAACCAAGGTATGGTGAAGTTCATCAACATTACAATAATTATTCTACAAGCAAAAACACTGCAAGTGACAGATCAGGCATTTGTCTCTGCCGCTCTCTGGGGTTACTTTGCCTAAAGAATCCATTTTAAGAAGGATGTATGCATTTTACAATATAGTCACCCCAGTTCATAATCTAAACCAAGCATTCAGTAGCAACAGTCAACTAAAAGTCAACATCAAGTAAACTTTCCAAAATATACTGGAGAGAGTAGGAATAGAGAGCTTTTCCATGAAATAGTCTCATACAAAACAGAACAAAACCTGGATTTTCTTCCCTTAATCTAGAAGAAAATGCAGGAAATGTGAATGTTATTGAGAGCATAAATTGCACCTCTTAAGCACAAAACTTCCAATTCTGTTATAAATGGAAACAGCTAGACAAGAAAAAACAAACAAATATTCGTTATCAACAGCAAATAATTTTTTTACATTATTGTTATATCTCTATTGCTTTAAAATCCGTTTGTGGACAGCTTTTTATGCATACGGCATCATACATGTACAGCAGCCTACAGCCCAAGTGTAACTTACTTACAATTCCCACTGTAAGTTTGTGTAACTTTTCAGAAGACTAGAATTTCGAAATCTTGCCAGTAACAAGCAGTATGGGTATTGCGCCACTTAGTAAAGGAACATACCAGACCCAGCCATTTAGTGACAGCTGGAAGTTGGTAAACGGCACGCTGTACCGCAGTACTATTTAGAAACATGGTACATAAAAACCCAGCTTGAATATAGAGCCATAGCTCAGAACAAACCTCAAATATATAAATGGCATTAGTTCATTTATGCAGTGCCAGCGATGGCTCACAGTGCAAGTGCTATTTTTCAGGCTGAATAAAACAATCACTGACTTATATTCAGGAATATCCCTCTTTCCATAGTGCATCACATTTTTTTGTCTTATATCTCCCAATCGGACAGTGAAAATTTGCAATAAATTGAATAGGCAGCAGTATAAAAAATAGGGAGGGCAAAAAAAAATAAAAAATTAGAACTCAAAGTAAAAGAAAGAAACCAATTTAAAAAAAAACAAAAAAAAACAGGAGCATGTAGCGTGGCAGTTTGCACACGTGGTGACTATTCCAGGCTGGTATTTGCCTAGGTGTTCATCTCCACATCATCAGTTCTTAGTGGTTGACCAAACTTCATACTTTTTTGCTCTTTCGTGTTTTGCCCTCGGTATTTGAAGCCCCATCATCTTGTTGTTGTAAGGATGATTTCAAAGAGAAGTTATCTAGGAACATACTTGGGATGTCACTACCAAAGTAGATCTTGCTGTTGGCAGAGATTGCCTGGTACTTCATAAGCTCCAAATATTGAGGTGTAAGTTTTAACTGCAAAAAGAGAGAAGGAACACGTGAAATAAATGGGGTAAATTTATCTGGGAAGAATGGGGGAAGCACATTATTAGATTTCATTTTTTTATAAATAAATATTTACCCATGGTGATAGCAGTAACCTACTGTATACTGGATTTGTGAGTTTTTCACACTAATGTAAAACTCACTCTTCCTATGTCCCCGTCCAAATGATGCACGTTCCCATGATCCCAACATGCTCTCTTCATTCCCAGAGCATGACAGATTGTATGAGTGCGCATGCACTGTAGTTGCAGTTATAGAGTGTTGACAGTACCCGCTATGTCAAGAGTTGATTGATGTATAGATTCAATTTTAACCTTTTACATTCAAAATTCAATTATTCAAATTATGTGTGGACTATAATGGCACATAGTGTATTCATGTGACTGGTAATCTGGTAGAAAAACAAAATGTCTATTCCCATCAAACAAAATGTAAAGTTTTAACTCCAATCTCTAGAACCACTTCTGAAGTAAAATGGTGCAAGGGCTGTGTATGTGAAGTGTTTCCGTATGAAATTATGCACATACTTTAATATTTCATTCTGCTGCTGGAGGTGTAACTCCACCTACAGCAGCTTTCATTAGCTTGTCCAAAACAAGAGTTCCAGACTGGCAAATGTTAGTTCTGTTCATATCCTTTGCACAGGCTTTCATTCATTGTCTGAGAGTGCTCAGCCAAAGAACGTATGGCAGAATAAATGTTCAACTGGTTTACCCCTTAAGGGCACTCGAAGCATCATAACCAGTAAAGCAGGATGTAGGGATTATGATGCTTAGCGTAATCCTTTAATTTGTATTCATACTGATCACGATACTGCTGTACACTTCAAAAAGACACCACACATTTTATAAATCTATTAGTTGTAGCATAACTTAACAGTAGAAATTATTTGGGGGAAGTTAAAACGAAACCGCAGCAAGGATACTACATGATTATGAATACAGGTTTGCATTTCTTTAACGTTACAATTTATAGAAGACACCTTGGAAATACTAGTGTTATGATTCTTACTTTCTGTTACAGTCTGCTCTAGAGTAAGAGCTGTGAATGTTTTGCATGTCAAGAAACATCCAAATTCTCTTCTTACCTTGTTGGACTCTGCAAATTGTTGTGCAGTGTAATATTCAGCATCTGCTCTAGCTCTCTCTCTGGCAAGGTAAGCCGAATCTGGAAAAAGTATATTATACCATTATCTTGATTGACATATCTGTACTGAATTGCATGGTTTAATTTCAAAATGCTCATTTATGTTGTGTATATTGGAGCTTGTAAGTGACATCCAGATTGGCAACAAAAGGTTAACTGAATGGGCACCAAGCACCATAACAACTGCAGTGCCTTGTAGTAGTTATGGTGCAAATAATCTTCAAAATGGTCTCCCTGGTTAAAGGATCACTATAGTGTCAGGAAAACAAAGCAGGTTTCCTGACACTACAGTGACACGGGAGGGGCACCCTCAGGGCACTAAAGGGGTTAAAACCCCTTCAGTTACTTACCTTATTCCAGAACCGGGCTCCCTCGGCGTTGGTGACCTCTCCTCCCCCGACGTCAGCTGAGCCGAATGCGCATGCGCGACAAGTGCCGTGCGCGCATTCAAGCGGTCAATTTTCTCAATGCTTTTCTATGGACGCTCTGCGCGATGAAGGCATAATATGCCTCCAGCGCCGCAGATGCGCCTCTAGTGGCTGTCTGGAAAACAGCCACTAGAGGCTGGCTTAACCCCATAACAGTTTCTCTGAAATTGCTATGTTTGCATCTGAAGGGTTAAAACCTGAGGGGCCTGGCACCAGTCTGGGTGCCAGGTCCCTCAGGTTTTAACCCTTCAGATGCAAACTTAATTGAGCTGAAGTGGTCTGGGTGACTATAGTGTCCCTTTAATGTCACATAATTGCAGTGTTTTCACGAGAACAGAGACTATTAGCACGCAAAGTCCACTCTGCTGCTGTGCCTTGATTAACGCCAATGTAAATTTCTGCCTTAGCTGATGAATTTTGGATTTCAATGACAGGCTGAGGATGCAGAGGGAGGGAGACAGTGCCCAGATACTAAGCACCATCATTCTTACAAAGAGCTGTAAAGGTTAATGGTGGCAAAAGAGCCCACTGAACCCGATCAATCCCTAAATTTAACAAGATTTCCGAATCGTATTTACTAGGTGCAGAATGGCATTTGGTTGCTTTAATGGAAAGCTTGTTATATGAAAGACCATTCGGCTACTTATTGGTTCAAATAAGCTAGATCTTAGTTTGATCCATTCCCCTAGGTACCATTCAGGGGAATTACACCCTTAATCCGAAGTCCTTCTTGACCGATAACAACCCCAAACACAATACAATAATCCTAAATCCACCTCAATAATCGTTTTACCATTGAAGCACCATTTTTTTTCTCTTACAGCAAAAACATTTGGCTGCCATTTGCTTGCTGAGAAGAATTTAGCTTCAGTGAGATCAATAGAACCTATTTGGCTAGGTGCCGTTTCAATTTTATTGACAGTGGACAAAGTAAACATCCAAAAGAATTTTATCAGCAGCATTTCCCGTGGAGTCCACTTTTCCTGGAAACTCACCCTCGATCTCAGAGATGCGTTTCTCAGTTTCCTTTTCCATAACTTTCTGCTGGAAATGGATCTTTGCCACCTGCGCAACCTTTTCTGCCTCTGCCAAGATAAAATGAAAATGGATTCACCTCAATTGTAATCTGCACTGCTACTGGTGCCTGGCTTACATCCATGATGGTAGAATGTCTGCATTCCCAACAAAACATAACTGGCAGGATAAAGTTGGAGGAGAGGATGGGTTAAAGATATAGGAGTCAAAAGTTTAAATTACGGTTACATTCATATATTGCACATGCCATCACACTCAATAATTATCAAATATTCCAGCCACTGTAACACATAGCAGGTATCAATTATTAACACCGTCAAAACAGTCTGAAAGTATTAAATTCTACTGTTAAAATGCCAAGTTTATAACCAGGCAAAAGTCCCAGTGCCAATAGATTGTACATAAAAATGCATGCTAGAAGTTTATTCAGTAAACTCTAGATTGTAGCAATCTGACATTCAAATAGCGGATCGGGAAAATTCTGCAACTCTGGTTTAATCTGGGTGGATTTTGAGTCACTACAATTCAGAAATTAGTGTGTCTATGGGGGTGGGATAACATTCAAATCACTGCTGCACCCTAATACAGACCTAAAATATTTCAAGAACTACAACTTTTATGAACTTTTGCCGGCTGTGTTTTGAGTTGGTGAAAGCTTATGAGCATCATGGGTATCTATAATCCGACTGTCAAATAATTTTCTCTAATAAAAGAAATGGTATGGTCACTAAAGCGTATATTGGTTGTTGCAGCATGAAGAATCATATTTACTCTGAGTGAAATATAGAGATGAAGATCAGATTTACCTATCACTGCCTTCTTCCTTTCGGTCTCGGCTTCCTTCTCCACCACCTTCTGCCTCTGGGCTGCGATTAAGAGCTTGGTCTTCTCACCTTCCCTATAATTAAAAGGTAAAACGGTCAGCGGAATTTGTATCCTTTATTGATTAGTGACAGTATTCTTGGGGTATCCAAGTGTATAATGCAAACCGCCTCGTTCTTTCCAGTTATTTCAATTAGTGGTTTCCCTGCCAAGTGTTGCAGGGTAAAAGGAGAATGAACACCATGCAAAAGTGCAGCTCACATTTAATCAACAGTCTATATAAGACATTAATTATAAGAAGTAGTGAAAAAAAAAAAAAGACAATAATAATAAAACGGGAGTGCCGAGATATGAAACTATGTATCAGCACATGACATCTACTATCTACTTGTGAGCAAACAAACAATAACTAGGACGATAAACCTGTGCCACCAGCAGCATATATGACGAGTGACTGCATTCTGAGGGTGCCCCTGAAACATGCAATGAGGGAAGAGATTACATTAAATGACCTTGGATATATTGCTGTACGAAATGGAGCAGCTACTGTTAAAAGAGAATTAAATATAAATAAAAAGTCCCTACAAATAAATAAAAACAATACAGCAGTTCAAGCCCCACAGTACAAATGAAAAACTGCAAAGCAGCTGGGATACTCACATGAGCTCAAAATTTCTCCGGATTGCTTCTGGAATTTTTGGTTTCGTAACTCGCACAGCCTAGGATACGACCAATAAACAGAATGTGTGTTTATATACAGCAGGGTTACATTACCATGTCACTACAAAATATTTGAGGCTTCTGGAACAAGCAAAAAATAAATAAAAACATTGGTGTACTAGATATGGATCAAATAGGCATCCTTATGGAAGATGCTTTCTGATTTAATCTAGTACAGTGAAAAAATGTATATGAAGGATCTATATACAGAGAATGAAATAGAGGAGCCTCACAAACAACATGTATACCTTATATCTGCCAAAACCTGAGAAAGGAGTATGCAATCCGTGGCCATACACTGTAACTAAATCCACATGGTTGTTGTCAGGTGATTTCGAAAACCCTACTGGTATAAAAAGCCAGTTTGTATTTTATTAGTTTTGTCCTTTTTTTGATTTAAAGGCAAATGGAGTGAGCTGCACTTAATTTGTCCTATTTATTTGTCACAGCAGCACCCAAAGCATGCATGTTAAGACATCATAGGTGTCTAATTACAGGTCCCTATTATACCATTGTTTAAACGTACATGGCGTGATCCACCTGAGATAAGTGTAAATAAGGACAGTCGAAATAGCGTTTGCATTAAAACATAGTTCGTGGCTAGGCATCCTCACGTGTTTTGTTTTTTTAAACCATTTAACTCTAACTTACCAACAGTGAACTTTAATATTTTTTTGAAAATAATAATTTTACTAGAATCGGCAATTCTAGGAGGAGGGGGCAGCAGAAGGGACATGAGATTGCAGGAGAGGCAAGACAAAAAAAAAAACCTCACACTTTCATATCTTAAGGCAGCTACATGTTAACCAATGATCTTTTCAAAATGATTTGGTATTCAAACCAGGTAAAAGTTCTTAAACACAGATAGCAACCGTGGGCACATATATGAGTGCCCTCTTCTATACTTCTTGAGGGGAGGCCGGAACACTTCCACAACTTCCAGGCAGGCTCTCACTGACAGTATGTTGAGAGTTTTTTATTTTTTTACTTCACCCTACATCAATAGATCACAGCACGGACTCTCAGCTTCTACAAAATACATGGTCTGCGAGCATGCTGATTACAGACAATGTTCAAATAAAATTAGATGTTGGCGTCCATTCCTTACTTGTATTGTAAGAGAAAGGGAAATATTCATAGGGAGAAAAATATAATGATTGGAATTCTTTCTTCCCAACGGAGAATCAAATTAATTAGGTTTTGTAGTTCCTGTATAAAAAAATTAAATAAAAAAAAAAAAAAAGGACCTCCTTGTGTCCTGTAGAAAGTCTTATTGATACAGAGGATGCATGCAGCAATCCTAGCACAAGCCATAATACTTAAATTCCTTCAGAACTGAAATCTTTGCGAACTAAGCCCAATTAAATGTCCTTCTTAAAATCCATTTGAATTTATATTTGAAAAAGTATTTAGATAGAAACAAGATTTGTGCAATAACATGAACATAATATATTAACCAAACACATAAAATGTGCTTTAGTTAAGTCCCTAAAACTATTATAATACTATTATATACTAGTATTACCACAATACAAAATATACATCAAGGTGAACAATGCATTATGGGTACACAATGAATAATAATTCTGATATTCAAAAGCCAGTATATAGACATATGTCACAATTGCAACCTGAAGGCAACCCTGCAGATAAACTACTGGCCTGCGCACTGAACATTGATAACCTCTGCTATATACAAGTTCTGCATAAGTAAATACACTGGTAGCAAAGTTCAAATTCAAAGAGCACTACTACGACAAACACTTAAAAAAAGAAATTATAAAAACTTTTAAAAATCAGTTAAAATAATTATTTTATACATACTTAACGAACATGCATGCATTTAATTACACATTTTGTTCATTGGGGGTATATATTAAAACAAAAACAAAAAACAGCATGCGAAAGCTGCAGATCTCGTCTGCATTCTTTGCAAGCCCTCTACCTCTAACCCAGACTTTCTGTGGCTATCAAATCAGAAACTTCCAAAATGTATCTCAATGAGAAGTCCTTGTAAGACAGGTGCCCTGGGTAATTGCTGCCTCTTGAGTTTAGCTCCATTGAGCTAAACAACATGGCAGTAACAGGGCTGGTTGTTGGATTGACAGTCAGGGGGTGTAACAAGGTTAATTTATAAAAGTTGCAATTTCTATTGAAATCTGCATTTGGGGGGCATTTCCGGGCGCTTGAACAAGATGGGCGCTTGAGCGCTATGCTCCCAGCCCAGAGTCCCGAAAAACCGTTGCCAACAACATAAAACTCTGGGTAAAATGGGCCTGAACTAAGAAGTCAGGTACGCCCAACCCGCCTTGCCACCCGTTGCCATCTAGATCTGGACCGATGGAAAACTTATTTGCGACCGGATTTGGCCAACCATGCAGCAGATGGCCACGAGGAGCCCACGTACCGTGAAAACCAGGAAAGGAGAAACATTACCCTATGATCCAGCTACACGCGGACCTTCGTGCTTTTGCCACAACCATGTTTACAAAGGCCAATGCGGGCGGGAGGGTGGTGGGGTTATAGAGGTTTCCCTGAAGCGCACAATATGGGCAGAATTGGCAGCTATCAAGCAAGATGTTGCTACTTTGCAGGAGCAAGTTTCCACGCTGAAGGCAACCTCAGAATGCTCCAAACAAACCCATGCTGCGGCTGAGCTGGCGACCACGCGGCAGGAGATCATGCTGCTCGATTTCCGCAGGCAGGTCGTGGACCTCGACAATTGGGGCCAGAGAAGTAATATCCAGATTTGTGGTTTACCTGAATATGTTTATTGTCTACGTCTTTTGACACATAGGTAGACTAACACGGTTCATTCTCGGTGGGAGGGAGGAGGGGTGAGCTCCCGGGGAGAGGAGTCAGGCAGCATTTACTGCTAGTGCCAGATTCTAGATCTTATGGTTGGGCCTTAGCAGAGGGAGGTGTATGGCTTGTCTGCCTCTCTCCGTGACTTTTCCCCTAATGTTCGTACCCCATCCGGTTGCTCCAGGAATGCATCTATTCTAGTAATGGTTCCATTCGGAGGGAAGTGATTAACACCTTGTCACACTTAAGTTGGCAACGTTCCTGTCCCCTATTGTCTGATGGGGCCGTGGTCACACTAGTTTGGAACAGCAGATTACTGGGCATCCACACATATGTCCCCTGGCTGAGCCTCCGACTGCAGCTTTTGATCTTACAACACCCCACAGACAATTATTCTGTTTTTTATTTTTTTTAGATAAGCTTTCATATCAACGTCAGACTATAACTCTGGTATCAGAACACTATAGTGCAGATTTCTACACACAAGTTCCGCCCCGCATAATTCAATGGTGGCCTGATTACTCACACTCCTATATTTCACACTCTGAATAGAATGTTTGTTTTCCATAGGGAGCCATCAGGCTTACCATCAATGTAGATGGCTACTATTTAATATTTTCAATTCTGTTCTCTCACCAGACCCCATTTACGCTTACCGAATGAAAAGCAGACCCAGATGGTCGATACTTTTTTGTCAAGGGCCTCATTAATTCGCAGCTGTACACATTTGCCACTATTTATGCTCCCAATATCCAGAAACATGCCTTCCTCTCTACCACTCAAACTCCTGAAGCATTTTACTGCTGGGGTTCTACTGCTTGGCGGAGATTTCAATCTCCCAATGAACCCAGCTAAGGATACATACCATGGCCACAGCACGATCCGTGTGTAACCGTATCAGACAAATACACGAATCATTGCAACAGCTACATTTGATAGACCGCTGGAGGATTCTCCACCCAGAGGATAAAGATTACTCTTATTTCTCATCAGTCCACGGATCCTACCCCAAAATAGACTAGACTATTCTTACATCAGAATTATTGGTCACTACTACAGGATGCAGACATTGGCAATATTACATGGTCGAACCATGCACCAGTCTCTCTCCAAATGGCTTCTCCACTCTTCAAGTCACGAGAACGCATTTGGAGGCTCAATAAGTCGTCGTTGTTGGAGCAGGAGGTTCTCCAGATGACCCAGGACTTGCTCTCCAACTACTTCGAGTCTATCATCCCAGTGTCTGTGTGGGAAGCCCATAGGAGTGTGCTCCGGGGTCATTTTATCACCATTGCCATGACCCGAAAGAAGACCCGAACTTTATTGAACAAGATTGGTACACTGGAGATGCAACATAAACGGCCCCTTTAGGAGATGAATTCCACGATCTGCTCTTAGCAAAGAAAGACCTTGCAATGCTACTAAAGCAGCAACAACATCGGATGCTTCAAAAATCCAAGAGGTTTTTTCCTATGAACACTCCAATAAATGCGGTTGGCTGCTAGCAACCATGCTCTGGAAGAAACATATATCGCATCCATATTTAAAGTATCCAGATGAATTTCCATGAGGTCTCAGAATTCACATCAGATATTGCAGACACTTTCCACAAGTAATAGACTGGCATCTACAACCTATCAGACGGAGACTACCCTGATAGCACAACTGTGCATCTCGAGGACATGACTAATTACTTGTCGACTAACATGCAGAAGAAAGTCCAGCACAAATCACAACGCTTGGACTCTGAAATCACCCTGGAGGACCTGCGGAAAGCCATTAAGTCAGGCAGGGCCCCTGAGCCCGATGGATTCCCTCTCAAATATTACAAAACATTTGGGTGAAGCCCTGTCGGGATAAAGAAACATATTGCTCGTATGCGTTTTCCCTTGCACTACACTGATAATATAAGGATGATATGATGCAAATCAGAAAATTAATTCGGTTTCATACAGTGACAGCTTTAGTATGGACCACTTTCATAGATGTATTAAATATGTACCATTTTCCTTGTTCATGTATATCTCTGTACCTGCACTGTACTTTTTCTCTACTACACATTGATATAATCAATAAAAATAGATTGTCAGATATTAAAAGAATTAAACTGGGATCACGTCCTGTAGGAGACAAGCTGAATTGCTCTAGAGGTCTGGAGTGTCCCTTTCAAGGTATTTTTAATGAAGATCCAAAGTATCTTGTTACAGTAACTCTGCTTTGTTTTAATATGCCAACTGGCTCGGAAGAATAAATGTTGTGATCTCCAGAAAATTTAGTGAGTGGGTATGGCTATAAGAACAATGATGCAAGATCTATTTCCAAAGGACTCATTGACATGCAAAGCAACCAAATATAGCTGTATAGACCTATTGCGGTCTTACAGGAATAGCAAAAGGAAATCGTACAGTTTTAACGACTGTGGTTAAAACACACACAATTCGAGGGGGCGGGGCCTGACCTCTGAGAGGAGAGGAAGCTAAACTATACAGCTCCTGCTCTGCAGCACGGAAAAAGTACAAAACAGCCGTCAAAACGAGAATTAATCGGCTCAAAAAGGCCACCAGGAGGAAGGTGACAAAGAGGGGCACACAATGATGCCTCACAAGCGACACTTCCAGCGAAACTCGCCTCCTCGTCCTGCGGGGCCTACAAGCGTGGTCAGCATGAGGGAGACGGCTGCTCCCCCGCTGACACCCATGGCTGATAAACGGAGACAAGACCCCTGTCCCCCCCCACCCTCTGGACCGGTGGGGGTGATCCCGCTCCCCCCCTGAGCAGATGCCCTGGTTTAACGGGAACCCGGTGAGTCATCTCAAGACAGAGCACGCAGCACAACAACTGGCCTAAAATGCGCTCCACCAACCATGCGCTCCACCAACCTCACAGATACAGCACCCACCACCATGACTCGGCTGGAGAAAATTTTTGAAGATTTCTGACCACCCCACAGCGGCTAAGTGCTCACGCAATGCAAGCCACAATACAGATGGGTACATACCCACTCAGAGTGCAGTCTGTGCAACCCGGCCGGGAACCCAGGAAAACTGCATACACGGCGGTGAAGCAGGCTCCGAAATGGTAGAACTGTGCGCGGCGCCCCCCATCTGGGAGCCAGCACAAAGCAGCACGGAAGAAGGAGCCACAGAGGGGGACAAAGTTTCAAACGCGCATGGGACCCGCCACACCAAGCAGATCGCCGGCTGCGGGAAAACGGTGCAGTGAAGCCTCCCAAGCTGCAGGTGTAGCCCATCACGCGACAATGGCACAACGAAGCAGGAGACCCAAGGTGAAGCGGAGGGTAGGTGACCCAATAAAGCGCAATATGAACACTATGCACCACAAACCAAGTAAGTCACTGCTGCCGCAAGCAAAGCTCAGACAGACGTCGAACACCTTTCCGGAATTCCACTTTAACCTTACCTGCCCCCACTCCAGCGGGATGATGGGCCTGACACCGGGACTCTCATGGCAGAACTTAGTTTGGCTCCAATGGGGAACTGGCTGACCCTGCAAATGGGCAGATGACTCTCCCACCCCTGGCAGGTTGTTCCAAGGGCACCAGCAACAGACTTAGACATTTAGTGCCTATTTTTATTTTAATTATTGTTGCATTTAAGACCTCAGCTGCCTATACTATACAAGCGTTGACCTTGCAGGAGGGGGAGACAGAGTCTGGTACCAGGCGACCTCACTACACTTGGACTCTGAGTGGCATAGGCTAAATGCCATAAGTAGTCTCACACCGGTCCCAGTGTAGCCAGGGTATCGGCCAGTTGTATTTTACCAGCATGCTACAACATTGATTGCATTATTTTTATTTTATATTATTTTTAATGCCTCTGTTGAAACTACTAACCCAACTTAAGTACCCTTAGGCAAATATAATACTATCCTGTCTATATACGAAAATGCGCAGTATAAGTTTGTCATGTTCTTCACCATACCTACATCGTATATAGCATGTTTACTTTATCGCATTGCCCGGGTGATAAGCACAGTATACAAATTTGTTACTCACTTTCATGCCCTAACTACACCCAGCATTACCATTAATCTGTTGTATATTATTTAAAAAATGTGCAGTTACTCCACATACCATGTCAAAGTTAAACAATATTTGATACTTGAATTACTTGCCAATACTGTTGCGGTATCGCAAATCTGTATGTAAACGCATGCACTGCAAAAATAAAGAATATGACAGAGGCCCTCATCCAATTACCTGAATGGTGAGTCCAGGGGCCATAAAATTTAGTTCCTTCTGTAGAGATAGCTTCAGGTTTTCATCAATTTGATCTGCAGTATGGCAGGAAAGAGATAAATGAAGACATAAGACAGAACAAGTAAATAAATCTTCCCTACACTTAGAGTAATGCGGCAAACAAGACCTGTCTATCACTGCACATATTTTAAAGGGGCGCTCAGCTGTCTAAATATATCAAATAAAATATCATTGCTTAGTAAATATACACCACTGAAAACATGCATACATGTAAATTTTGTTCCCATCGAAGGTTTATCTAAAAACAGCTTGCAACAGCTGCAGATCAAAATTCTCCCCTTCTAACCACACTCAGACTTTCTGTGACTGTCCCTTTAAGTTAGAGTAACTAATTCCAGCAACAACTAATTAAATAGGACACAGGAACAAGCTTAGAGATTCAAAGACCCTTTAGATAATATAAGGATGATATGAAGCGAATTAGAAAATGAATTCGGTTTCATACAGTGACAGCTTTAGTATGGACCACTTCCATAGATGTATTAAATATATTCAGTAACTCAAACCAAACTTTGCAGAGGAAATGAGGAACTGAACGCTCGCACGAAAGCTAAAATATTAGGGAATTAGGGAATGCTTGCAGCACTCACCATATGCAGATGGTACAGAGTCACAATAAGGAGCTGCACAGAGAAAATGCCTCATTGTGCATGCTCCGATGCCATGGAACACGTTACACTCACTACAGGACAAAAAAAAGTCCAAGAGGCTGCAGTAAAAATAGGAAAAGAATACACACACACACACTTTTATGAAAAAAACTTTCCTCACCAACATGGGAATAAAAATTACAATACTAATTTCGTGAATACCTAGATTTTGAATGTTCGTACATATCTGTCAGGAGCAAGAAAAACAAAATTACTTTCATGGACGCTTACCAAATAGCTCGATGTATACCTCCTGAAGGGTGTGAGAACTGCAAAACTGGTTCAGCTCATGGTGGATTTTATTAAATATTAATGTCTTATCATAATCGGCGGTGTAGTTTCGAACAACATCGTACACTGTGGAAACAAAAAGCATAAAAGAAGTCAGGAGATTAGTATATAAAATGTCAAAAATCCAGACAGTTTCAATCAAATGCCATAGTATGCCTCATTTGTTCTATGACAGACTCCTATAAAACAATACTGAATCCAGTTGGTAGTACAGGTGCTTTGTGAACAGTACACTCATAGAGCCTGCAGCTTTTGTGTCTAGAACCCAAAATATTAACAAATTGTCAGCTCTATTTACAAGCTATAGTAAACAGTGAGCCATCTCCCTTTTGCTTTCATTTTCAATTAAAAGAGGCTTATTCACATAACTGCCTGAGATTTAGATCTTGTGAGCAGTTTACATCAAATAGCAAACTCCTTGAAAGTTACTTGAAATCGTACTCACATTTTTGCTTGCACTCTACTCATGAGTTATTTGTATGATCTGTCCATGTAATAGGCTTGGTTACAATGCTCAAAATTACTGATGCTGGAATGCTGGGGCCGATTTGTGTTTGAGGTTGACTGGGCTTTAATGGGTGTGTATGGATGGCTAGGGCTACTGGATGTAAATGGACAGCTTAGATTATGGATATGAATGGATGGTATTATGGGTGTGGATGGATGGCTGGGCACTGATTATATGGAAGAGCTGCACCCTGTTCATGTAGATCTGCTCTCACCTCCTTTGTTAAAGATGTCGAAGGATAATAGCACCAGTGACAATATAAAAATCCAGCATGTGTGCTGGTGCTGATAATTTCCACTTCTGAGGCCTCTGCTCAGCTGTATATCCATTCTCTTACCCTTCTACTACGGCCCGAGCTGTAGGAGATTGCATGTGTGATTTACTAAATTTTTGTTCAAATGTTTTGAGTAAATAGGTCTCATGGCGTACTTAATGGGCAAGAGCCGAGTTTCATTTCCAGAAACTTTCAATGCTAAAAATGTGAGCAAAATGTTATGGTAAAATAAAATTTAAAAAGCACATTGCAAATAAACCTACAATATATATACCAGTTTCTGAGCAAAAATCACTTAGATTTAAATAAAGATGTGCATGCCTTTATCTCCATGTATAATGCATGATGTAAAGTATTTGCCCCCCCCCCCTAACTTACAACAAGAATGATACAGCTTGAATGACAACCAACAAGTTTAAATATCAATATGAATAAGTATAAACAAAGAGCACATTACAAATTGAGACCCAGAGATTCAGTTATGAATGCTAGGTAAGTGTATCTGCATAAATACTTTGAAGACGTGTGATCTCTTAATTCTATATAAGCACTTACAAGCATTTTACCAGTCTGCGAAATACTAATTTTCACTAGTTGCACATTTTAATAACTTAAATTAACACTACTGGGTCAGGAAGACAAACATGTATTCCTGACACTATAGTGTTAAAACCACCATAGAAAGGGTTAAAACCTTATTTCCAGTATTGCGCGAGTCTGCCGGCGCTGGCCTAGCCCCCAATCCGCCTCCTTGGGATTTTTAGCCTATCCAATGCACTTCCAATTCAAAACCCTCCTTGTCAGTCTCTCCACTGCCTCAAGAATATTTACAAACATCCACGTCACTCTCCAAATCTTGTAGGGTAATGACTGGCTGTATATTGTGAGAAGTCAATTTATTTCCTCAACAAGAATCACATTTTTACATCTAGAAATGGACTCCAGGTCTCTCTCCGTCAAGCTTTCCTGACAGAAAATGCTGAAAATTAGAAAAGAAGTCTAGTCTCTGAGAACTGGTTTAGTCTGTTCTATCAAAAAAGCAATGAGCACACTAGGAATTCTCATGTCATGCATTCCAGCTGTGAACTGGCAAGGGCACAAATGAGACCACTTCAATGGGAAATTGTTCAATCCTGGTCCGGGGAACTGAAGGATTTGGATGCAGAATTCACCAAATACAAAAAAAGTTCGAAACAAATTAAAGTGGTGGATTCATATTCACTTCCTGGGTTTGGGTGTTTTTTTTTTACCAAAAAGATTGGCTCACAATTACCACTGATGCTTCAATTACCGACTGGGGAGCTCATTTAAAGCCCTTATTCCAGAAAGGCAAATGTTCTGCAGAAGAGGCTCAGTAATCCTCCAACTTCAAGCAACTAAATGTAGTTCTGAGGGCTCTATTCTCTTTCGAAACTTTGATCATAGGAAAATTGTGAGGATTCAATCGGACAATATCATAGTTGTCACCCATCTGAACAGACAGGGAGGAACACAGTCCCTGCTCTTTCCAATCTAAGTGCAAGAATAATTTTGTGGTCAGAAAAACGATCAGAAGCTATTTCTGCTGTTCACATCAGAGGAGTGGACACACAAGCAGGGCACAATGGACGCACACTGAGCGGTCACTAGATTCAATGATGTTTGGCAGACTCACAAAGAAATTCTGTCAACCAGAGATAGACCTCAGGGCAACAAGGAAAAACCTTTGCCTCCCTGTGCCGGACAGATAACACAAATTTTTTGGATAGGCTTTCTATCATCTAGGATTTCAACCTAGTATACATTTTCCCTCCAATCTCCTTGATTCCATGTATTTTACTAAAGATGGGATTAGACAAAGCTACAGCTATAGCTATCATGCCCTACTGAGCTGAAACAGATGGCCCGGAGAAGTTGGGAACTACCTCTCAGGGAACCAATAGTGGAAAACACAAGTACCAATGGAGACTTTTCATATATGTTCTGACTGACAGCATGGAATACTTCGGAAGTACGGATTGGAGGAAGGTACATTGGATCTGGATCATACAGAAAATCAACATCTAAGATTTAATGGAGAATCTGGAAAAGGTTTGACGAATGCAATGAACTATTAACTCCATCAATCCATTTGTTGGGTTTCTGCAAGATGGCTTTTTGATAGGTTTCAGTATATCTACCTTGAAAGTTCAAGTGTCAGCCATTCTCAAATCTTTGTTTCTCCCAAAAATACTATCCAAAAAGCCAACCACCATTATTCTGCCCACTCTGTGCCAATCACCTTCTACTCCTGCAGCAGCCAATTTGCACTTATTAGATGTGAAGAGAGCCCTGGAGATCTACATTAATCATTCTTTGTCTTTCAGAATCTCTGATCACCTTTTCATTAATTTCCAAGATGCACATAAAAGAGTCATCCAAGGCAACTATCGCCAGGCATCAAAAATGGCCTATGAAGTCAGTGGTCAGTCTCTTTCCACTAGTGTAAAAGCTAATTCGACAAGAGCTATGGCTACTTCTTGGGCAGCAAATGCATAGGCTTCTCCGGAGGATATCTATAAGGCAGTAACTTGGTCATCAATACCTTCATCTATCAAGACAGGCTAGACATCTTTTAGTCCTCAGAAGATGCTTTTGATCGTAAGGTGTGGTTTACTGCTGTATCCCGACTTCCCACCCAGTTTGGGATCTTGCTATATCCCTCACGCTGACCCTATACGCCAGGAAAAACAGAAATTTTGCTTACCGTAATTTTTTTTTTATTTTACCCTTGGTATAGCGGCAGTACAGATTCCACCCTGTATAATAAAGTATTTTGATATATTTGCAGGATTTGGTCTCCTGGTTCTGTTTTCTTGCCATTACGGATTTGGTTATTTAAGGTATGAAGCTGTGGGTTTACATATTTAATTATACATGCTACTTGTCCACCTTAAGGAAGAACATCCCTCTTGTACTGCCACTATACTAATGAAAAATTTTTTTACGGCAAATATGGAAGGTTTTTTTGTGTGCAGATCCTGTGCACTTTGGTAATCTTTCTGTTCAGAACCAGAAAGGTGATGGAAAAAGATAGATATATTCCAATATCTAGAGGTATTACAAAACCCAAGACGTGCTGAAAGACAAATACACTTACCTGCTGAAGAAAGCAGCATATTAACAACTTCAATTCGATCAAAGTAGATCATAACACCTCCACTGAAAAAACAAGTACAACAAAGTCAAGAATCTATACATAGGGCATAGTAGATAAGGAAATTGGAATAAGAATATATAAGACATGAAAGCAGGAAAAAGTGCAAGAGAAGCTATTTAACAAATGCTTAAGAGATTAGTGAGAAGATCACTAAATACTGAATTGGAAACAGAATTGCAAAACTTTGGCCAAAATAGACTATTTGGAAAAATTCAACTACAAAACTGTAATATAATAATAGTAACAGTTGTTATGGTGACCTTTAAGCAGTTGTTTTGATGACTATAGTATCCCTTTAAACTTTAGAGCTAAACAAAATGATGTCCTGATGTTTAAATAACAGGCCTAGGGAGTAGCAAAATACTGAACTGAAACATTACATTAGGTTATACAATATGGCACTCTGCCAACTTAAATCCTTCACACAATGGGAAGGAGAGACAAAAGTCTGTATGGGAAGGTACACTAACCCAGGTAATGTGGCTATAAATGAACTCCCAGTACTGGAATGTTACAAGACAAATATATTTGCAAAAATGGGAGAAAAAAACCCTGATAATCAACAAAAATACATATACCTAAAGGTTCCAAATAGAAGTTGCAAATGTCAACTAAATCAAGCCATCATATAAAATGTGTGCCTGTAAATAGCCCCTTCTAATATTCCAACCCTTATTAGAGGAACCGGACTAAGCTTTGAATGCAGCATGAGAGGGAATAGAAAATAGCTTAGAGGAAAAACAAGGGAATAAAATAAGGAAACTTCTCCTCACTGAATCACTCGAAGGTGATTTTAAACGAAGCTTCTATGCATGCTTTGTTTCATGTAGTGGTTATGGTTACAGAAGTTTCCGGTCATCATCCCAGTGTAATTTATCAAACCCCTTTTAGAATGGTTTACAGTTGTTATCCGAGTTATATACCACCCCTGGTTTTCTGCAGAAGAAGCTTGATGTATCTCTGCAGCTAAGCTGGTTGGGAGTAGCTGATGCTCTCAGGCAATGAATGCAGTCCTACCTGGTTCAGTAGGGAAGCAAAGGATGTGGCAGTGTATGTCCAGTGGGACACAAGTACATTGTCCAAGTGTACAAAACCAGACTGACTAAATAAACTGAAACAGTGCCAGGGGAATCCTGACACCACAACTACTACAGCAGGCTGAAGTGCTTATGATACTTTGAGTGGTAACCTTGTATAGGTTTCCTTTACTAAACATAACATAACAAAATTGCTTATTAGTAAGCTTTATTTCATTTTCAAAAAGGCGTTTTTTGGATACATTATTTAGTTAACAGCTTCACCATAGTCATAAACCTGACTTGTTTCCTTGACTAGTTATATGAAAATGCCACATCTTGGTGTCCCTTGAATTGTGAGAATTAGTTGTATGATACTTGACACAGGAGATTAGTTGTATGATACTTGAACACTTTATTTCCTTTGATGGGGCTGATATTTTATATATGTAATCGCTGACTTGTTCCAAATGGCTCTCTGAAATCTAATCAAATAATTAGTCCTGCTTACTTTTATTTATTTTTTTCCCCACAATCTTTATTTAAAATTTTATCAGGTACATAGGAGTTAGAAAAATAGATACCAACAAAAAAACTAAAGAGTTATTACACCAGCCTGTCCGGAGCAGGAATCAAAAACCAAAATATTCATTGTAATTCGGCTATCAACTGATATGTACATTTGAAAGTAAGCAAGTGGCTTAGGCATAAGACAAACTGCAAGTGCATTGCTTCTCTCATAATACAGACTGGCTGGGTGAGACTTGTGTATTAAAGGGAAACTAAGGTGCTAGGAAAACAAAGTTGTTTTCCTAGCACAATAGTGCCTCCCCCTCCTTTGCACCCCCCCCACCTTGGTGGGTAGCTTGCTTGCTTAGGTTTTCTAGCACAGAGATAAAGGCTGTCCAGGGTAGTATGGAATTTGTCAGTCCGGTTTTGTAGAGAAGCCAGTAGGGCCCCTATTTGTCGTATCTCCTCAATCCTGGTCATCCACTGGTGGAGCTTCGGGATACCCCTTTGCCCGCCAGAGGACAGGGATTAGGAATTTAGCCCCATTGAGCAAGTGTATAGCAAGAGGCTTTTTGTACTGGGATAGTGGCATCAAGGTGTGATGAAGCAGTATCTCCATTGGTTGTAGTGGTTCTGCTTCCCCTCACTATTTGGTTCATAGTTGAGTGTATGGATTCCCGATAGAGGAATATATCAGAAACCAAGGCACCCCAACACATGCCAGAGATCTCATTAATCTATGTAGGAGTTAAGGGGTGCGGTATCAACAAGTCAGTAGCTTGTAAATGAAGTCCTGTATGGAGGAGCTGATGGAAGCTCTGTGAGTTGATTAAGATTGCAGGAGACTCCATAGATCATGTTTTACAATCAGCGGGATGATCCCTGCATCCCACAGCAGTCACTTGTGACGGCTGCTGGATTGAACAAAAGGTGGATTGAAGGTGAAGCTCCACCTTTTGGCAACCTCATAAGACCCCATAAGGAAAATCGGTCCCTACTCTGTTTTGTGGTATCTTTGGATTCCCTTCGAATTTCAGTGAAATTCCAACATAAATGGCATTAGTATTTCATAAAGCTTATATCTTTATGAAAATACTAACATGTGACAGAGCAACTTTAAAGTCACCATATTAAAGGCAACATTATAAAGTTTAAAAAAGTAAATCAAACTAGCAGGGTAAATAACCTGAAGGAGACACTCTGAACTAGGACATAAACATTATGATTGAATTTGACTGCTCCATGCAATGTTTGAATTCCGTATTCTGAAGCCAACATCCTGCTTCCTCCATTAAGACACTTCTGGCAGTGGTTTTCATTGTTATGCGTGTATCGGACACGTTTAGAGGGAATAATATACTACCTGGAAAGTATACTTTTGTCCATGGTCCAACTACATCTGGTTAGACCACTGTATTTTGGACAAGTTGAGAATTTAGTCTTGCATAATGAAACTATTTTGGGCAATAAAACTGCTTTAATTTTGCTCTTCATTAATATTTAACCAAAAATAAACGTACCTCGTTCCACATGGTACATTCTTTACTTCATCTGTCTGCAGAGTAGTCTGAAAATACAAAATAGATTAAGAAAAATCCATAACATATACTTTAAGAACATTTTAAAGGGACATTATATGCACAGTCACTACTATATCTCATTGAAGTGGGTATAGTGTCTAGAGTCCTCTGCTATTGTCTTTACTGTGAAGTATTAAATAATCTTTAATCTTTTAATGTTAAAGGAAAGTTGCAAGCAGCCCATTCCCACTATGTTGCTTGGGCTAATAACGAAGCATCAGCCTGAGTGGCAATGGGCAGCTGTGTAAACATGGCTACATTTGTACCAGGTGCAAAGGTCACAAAGGAATTAGTGCATCTTGAGCACTCATACCAGATAAGCCACTGTAGTTAATTTTTGTAATTTATATTTTATTGGTCAGAAAAGTATACGAAGTACAGTGTAGTTGACACTCACCTGGACTGATCGAAAGGAAGTAATAAAAGGAAACATGATATGGTATCCAGGTCCGCTGGGACTAGTCAGTAAAGCACCCCCTCTTAAGAAAAGGAAAGAAAAAACACATAATGTGTAATTACTTGTAGAATGATGCTGTATGCCTAGCAGTCTAAAAATATAAATCAGAAAAAGCACTAATTGTGAGATACTTACTTTTTCTAATCAACATTCAACATATTTCTTTTATATAGGCAAAAGAACCAGTGTTTTAATTCAAAACTATATTCTGCAAGGCTCCTTTGGTGGTCATGTTCTAGGTATTAGGTACAGTGGCTATGCTTACTCTCAACCCCCACACACACACACTTAAATGATGGACTTCACAGTGGTAATGTAACAGATATGTTGCTATTATAATAATTTATATTTAATCAAATAAATGAGAAAAAACAAAAAAGGGGAGGGGAGTGTCAACATCCAGAATGGTAAGAAGCTTGCAAATCCTTTTACCTGTAGTATACAGCCAGATGACCTTCCTCCACCTTATGTATAGATGAGTTGAGGACCAGGGCAACGACTGCTGTCACCACTCCTATTACTACACCCAGCTGTGCCATGGTCATCATACCTGTAGGAGAGAAGAATTAGATAACGGGTGTTTGTAAGAATAGGTGTCCAGAGAAGTCGTTTACCCTTTCAGTGTTAACATGAAGTAATAGGTTTACTTATAAAGTTAATTCCACAAACGGTAAGATAAGAGTAAATTTTGAAAAAAAATAAATCTGGGTGCCAACGTTGCATTAATTATTGTTGCACTATAGAATAATGCTATTTAATGTGATTTGTGTAGTGCACACAGAAATTGGCTAATTAGTAGTGGATAGATGTCATAAGGGAGTAATTTAAATTATATAGGAATGTGATAGTTGTCAGAAGGTTTACAACAAGAATTACTCTTTTCAAACTGTGACTCCCGAGCTCCTCTGCAAAGTGGGAAATGCTACACGAGTTGCCTCCAAGTCTATCTTTTTTTAATTTATTTTTTTATTCTTTATTTTTGTTATGCAGGTGAGTACAAGGCGCATACATACGCCACAACAGAGTATATTTATGGTTAAACATAGGTTAAACTGTGGCATGGAAAAATTTGCACATTTTTGTTTTAAATAACAAAGTAATCTAGGCACACATGTTCAAGTGATAACAATCCGTATGAGATCGAACGTGCTTGCAGCATCCTGACCGCCTTGGTATTTAGAGATTGTACTTAAGAATAATACAGTAACATGGTATAAACAGTTGCACCAGTCTGCGATTCTGTGCCATGATGACTAATGTATTTAGATAATCAGGCATTAACTATAGCAATAACAAGCTATTGAATAAACTGTCACATTTTTGTCATGAGTGACTTCATAGACATGTCCTAGGAGGACAAAGCAATAGCTCTTAGTCTGCACTTTTTTTGTTACTTATGCACCAAGTGCCACTGCTGGTGTGTGGAAGAATAACAGGGTGAAACTGGGGGTTAAGTACGGTTTGCATAACCTGGATTAGATAAAGGGACCTATGCCTATATGTACATGCTCGGGGACGATGCCATTGTATGCTGAGTGGATGAAACCGCTAAGCTATGCAGAGAGTGGATGTACATTTATAAGCTCAATGTTGGTTGTCAGTGAGGGAACACATAAAATGCACATTAAAATTAAGATCCAGACAGGGATGACAAAGTGGAATGTAAGTGGTTAACCTGGAATACTCTTGAACTGGGGATTACTAAAGAGCATGTTAAGCTTGCATTCAGCTACCATAGTTATGGCATGTAGCTTAGTGCTTGACTTGGTTGTCAGCCTATCCCCATCATAGGGAATTTACTGTCCCACAGAGCATGGGCTTGCAAACCCACAGCCGGAGGTGGTAGCTGCTGATCTCGCTTGTGCAGGTGCCTTTCTCCCTTCTCCTCGGCTCTCTGCTTGTCGTTCATGTGTTTCAAGGGGTTGTATGGCTGTGGAGCTCCACGGCTCACCGCTTGTCTGCTTATTGCCTTTCGTTGCGCGGCTTGTTTTGCGGCACGTGGGCGCTTCCTCCGCCGTCTCAGGCGTAGCGGGCCTCTGGCGAGTGCTGTCGGGCTGCTTGGTGTGTGACAGGTAGGTCGCATAGGAGTTATCACGGTCTCGTGTAGTGTCTGCTTGGCCCTTAGCTTCTCCCAAAATGCTTCGATGAGGGCATCCAGGCGCTGGAGAGTAGTGGATACCACTCCTCCTTGGGTGAGGGCCACCGCGGCGTCCGCCATCTTAGGGAGACCTTTGGCGGTAATGTCGGCTTCTAAGGTACTGCCGTGGCTCCTTGGTGGGTCACGAGAGCCTGCCGGGTGGGGACCGGGATAACCCCCACCGGTCCAAAGGGGGGGGCAGCGGGGTATCAGTAGCTCGCTTGGGGCTCCGGCAGCGCCTGTCCGAGAGAGCGGCCGCCTCTCCCCCCCAGGGCGCCCACTAGGCCCCATTGCATCTTGGCTACCAGATCGCTTGAGAGGGCTGCAGGGTGTGTTCCTCGGTCCCTCTGTCATGTCGTAGGACTGAGAGGGGGTATCAGGCTTAGGTATAGTCGCTGGATTAGCTCAGGATCTCAGTTTGTACATTACGTTCCAGGGAGCTCCCCAGAAACACGTCTAGTCGCCATGCTGGTCAGGCCCCGCCCCCCCTCCAAGTCTATCTTTAATGTAAAGTAGCTGGCTAATCTACCATATGCCTGTATCCACTCATAGATGATGGATTATTTTGATATGCTAATGGCCTTTAGCATTGAGGAGACCATTGTCTGCCAGAGTCATATCCAAAAGAAACATTTATAATAACCCACAGATGAATAAAAATGCCTCCTTTTGTGCATATATAGAATGGGGAAAGGCCACTAAGTGAGTTCATAAGTAGGAAGTGTGACAAGTATAAAATAAAAAAAAATTCATAGATGCAATAATTTCTGTTGCCAGCACAAAAGAATAAAAGCACGAAGGGAATAAAAGCAAAAAAGTTTCTATTTGGATTGATGTTGGTATCAAACTATGCTTTTTCGTTGTTTTAATTGCACTTCCTTGTATAAATGGGTTCTTGGCCTCACTTAAAAAGTCAAAATGAACAGAATCACACTAACTGGAATCATATAGCTATCGAGTACTGGCCGGGAAGGGGACACTAGGCGCTTTTTATTTTTTGCTGTGCACAGCAGTACACAAGTTTACAATGCCACAATAACAGTGGTAAGCATTCAAAATAACAGGCATAATATTACAGGAATATAGCACTGGCGATATCTGCACATTTTAAGAAAATAACAGGCTAGTAAAAAGAATACGTCAGTAGGGAGTTAGTAAAATCTGGTTGTACTAACTGACAATATATTAACAAAGGATGTTCTAGTGCCGGGATGGGCAACATTCGACACTCCAGATGTTGTGGACTGCATCCCCCATAATGCTCTTAAACCCATAATGCTGGCAAAGCATCATGGGAGGTGTAGTCCAAAACATCTGCAGTGCCTATGCCTGTTCTAATGTATTGTTTTGGGGTCAGGAAGGAATTTTTTTCCTAGCTTGTTGCAAAATTGTGCTTCAAACTTTTTTTTATTTTGCCTTCTTTTGGATCAACAGCAAAAAACAAATGTGAGGAAGGCTGAACTTGATGGACGCAAGTCTCTTTTCAGCTATGTAACTATGTATGAGGCTTAGAGAGAGATAATCAGTAAGTAAAACCCACCAGGTATATGTCAAAGTTGATTCAACAATAGCACGTACAGTATTGGTAGGTAATAAGAGAGTGGTATACAGTGAGGGAAAAAAGTATTTGATCACCTGCTGATTTTGAACGTTTGCCCACTGGCAAAGAAATGATCAGTCTATAATTTTAATGGTGGTATTGGTTGAAGGAGAGACTTGTCTCAAGTTTACCTTAATAGCCTTACACCAGAGTTATGCTACTAAGGTTTTTTTTTTTTTCTTTTTTACTGTGTCTTTGGAGCTGGAAGTATTTTAATCTACCTATGCATCAGATGTATTACCTCTAGCTACAGTGAGGGGAAAAAAAAAAAAAGTATTTGATCATGGTCGTGAAGGACTGAAATCCTGCAGCGCCCGCAAGGTCCCCCTGCTCAAAAAAGCACATGTACAGGCCCATCTGAAATTTGCCAATGAACATCTGAATGATTCAGAGAACTGGGTAAAAGTGTTGTGGTCCGATGAGACCACAATCAAGCACTTTGGCATCAACTTAACTCGCAGTGTTTGGAGGAGCAGGAATGATGCCTATGACCCCAAGAACACCATCCCCACCGTCAAACATGGAGGTGGAAACATTATGCTTTGGGGGTGTTTTTCTGCTAAGGGGACAGGACAACTGCACTGCACCAATGGGACGATGGATGGGTCCATGCAGTCAAATCTTGGGTGAGAAACTACTTCCTTCAGCCAGGGCATTGAAAATGGGTTGTGGATGGGTATTCCTGCATTGCAATGACCCAAAACACACCGCCAAGAGCCAAGGCAACAAAGGAGTGGCTCAAGAAGAAGCACATTAAGGTTCTGGAGTTGCCTAGCCAGTCTCCAAACCTTAATCCAAAAGAAGATCTGTGGAGGGAGCTGAAGAGTCGAGTTGCCAAACATCAGCCTCAAAACCTTAATGACTGTTGCGGCGTGTTGGACCACACTAGCAATCGTGACAATGACTTGGAGAGGATCTGCAAAGAGGAGTGGGACAAAATCCCTCCTGAGATGCGTGCAAACCTGGTGGCCAACTACAAGAAACGTCTGACCTCTGTGATTGCCAACAAGGGTTTTGCCAACAAGTACCAAGTCCAAGGTGTCAAACACTTATTTCACTCATTGACATGCAAATCAATTTATTACTTTTTTGACACGTGTTTTTCTGGATTTTTTTGTTTGTTATTCTGTCTTTCACTGTTAAAATACACCTACCATTAAAATTATAGACTGACCATTTCTTGGTCAGTGGATCAAATACTTTTTTCCCCTCACTGTAGCTAGAGATAATAAACCTGATGCATAGAGAGATTAAAAGACATCCATCTTCAAAGACAGTAAAAAAAAACCTTAATAGCCTTACTCTGGTGGCCATGAAGTGCTGGTCAACCGCCATATAATTAACACTTGCAGCGCTGAGGGTTGTTTAACATTTTGCCTGCTGGCTGCCAAGTGCTGCAAGGGGGAAACTAGTACTTAAAATTATCATTCGCTTGTAAAAAAGCAAGTGAACAATAACATGCGGATGTGCATCCTACTGGATGGATTCGGTCCTGAATTTTATTAAAAGCTGGTGCTTTGTGAATATTCCAAATCCTATCATTTGTATGGGATTTAAATACAAAAACAGATTTTAATCCTGACACCAAATGCTGCAGATTAATCCATATTTGGTTTAAGTTAATATGAAAATTGCCATTGTATCGGACAAAATCCGGTGTTTAGTGAATAAACCTGACCAGACTTTCTGTGGCTGTCCAATCACAGACTTCCCAATGCAGCTCAATGAGAAGTCTTTGCAAAGCAGGTTCTCTGAGTAATTGTCTGTGTCGGGTTTAGCACCACTGAGCTAACAAACCAGGAAGTAACATGACCAGTTGTCTGCTAGAAAGTTAGGATGGTATAACCAGGTTAATTTATAAAAGAGTAAATTTCTATTTAAATCTGCACTTTTTGTAAAATGAAAAAGAGGAGGTCCCACACTTTACACAAAGCTTTTCAGCAAGCTAAAGGGCTTTTGGGGTCTGGAGTGTCTCTTTAACCCCTTCAGGACGGGTGACGGACGAGGTCCGTCACAGAGGGGAGACCCTTAACGACGGGTGACGGACCTCGTCCGTCACGCGGTAAAATTAACCCCGGATCGCCGCTATCGCGGCGATCGCGGGGTTAATGGTGCTCCCGGTATGCCTCTGCATTAGAGGCATACCGGGAGCACCCGGTCAGTCTGCCCAGCACATGTGCTCGCTCTGACCGCAAGTCTGAGCGAGCACATGTGCTCTGTATACTCACCTACCGGCTCCCTGCACTTCCGGGTTCTGTGTGAAGTGCAGGGAGCCGGATCAGTGCTGATCCTGCCCCCTGCTGTAAAAAAAAATAAAGTTTATTTAAAGTCCCCCCCCTTACCCATTTTAATAAAAAATTAACCCCTTCCCTGCCAATTGATCACTGACTACAGTGATCAATTGGCAGGGATTACATTTTACTATGATCTGATTTTTTTTTTTAACCCCTGAGGGTTAATTCTTTTTTTTTTTAACCCTCAGGGGTTAAATTAATTAAATTAATTAATTAAATTATTTTTTAATTATATATTTAGCTAGCTGGGGTAGGTGGAAGTTAGTGGGGAATTGGGGGATTTGGCATTAGGCTAACTAGGGGTTAACGTTAAAAAAAGTTTTAAAAGAAACTTTAAAAAGTTAAAAATTAAGCTTAAAAAAATGTTTTAATAACATTTAAGTAAAAAAAACAAAAAAAACACACTTTACCTAGTCCAAATAAAAATTAACCCCTTCCCTGCCAGTCGATCACTGCCTACAGCGATCAAATAGAGATCACAGTATTATACTGTGATCTAATTTTTTTTAACCCCTGAGGATTAACTTTTATTTATTTTTTTAACCCTCAGGGGTTCAATTTATTTAATTAATCAATTTAAATATTTTATAACTATATATTTTGCTAGCTGGGGTGGGTGGGAGTTATGGGAAAATGGGGAATTTACTGTTACTGCTGCGTACTGCTAGTTAGGGGTTAACGGTAAAAAAAAAAAAGCTTAGAAAAATGTTAAATCTGTAAAAAAGTTTTAAGAAAGTTTAGGAAAGTTTAAAAAAAATTTATAAGCAAAACAAAAGTTTAAAAACTAGTTTTTAAAAGTAAAAAAGTTATAAAAAGTAAAAAAATACATTTTAAAAACGCTCATTACCACTACACCTGGAGCAAACTAGAGAAAAAATTATCCCACGCCAAGGTTCAAAATATGCCTTTTGAATTACCCCAGGGTGTATTCTTTAATAAATAGTATGTGTTTGTGGGGAAGTTTCAATAACCAACCGTCTAAACTACTCCAAATTGGAACATGGACACAGCGTAAAACTTCAAAGTTAGAAAAAAACTGAATGGCTGCGTCTCAAATGCGCCCCTTCAACATCCACATATACCTGGCAAAGGTACATACGGGGGTATTGCTGTACTCAGCCGACATAGCTGAGCAACATATGAAGTATTATACAGTCATAGCACACATAAGGTTTGCAAAATATGCT